GTTAGGTGTTGGCCCCGACAATCTGGTCACATCGTCCTTGTCGCTTGCCAAAGGAGGATAAACAAGTAAATGGGTTTTATATAATCGTGACATTGTCACCCATATCGAATTGTTTATGGACTGCCTTTGTGATAAAAGGAAAATGGTAAAGAGTGGTACTTCTAAGGCGGGTTTGGTTTTTTTACGTTTATCATTCTATTATCATCGTATCGTATCGAAATTTTATAATACAAATGAAGTAAGAAGTTTTTCATGGAGTCCTATTAATAAAACGTATGTAAGTTATATTACCAAACTAGTTATTTGACATCATAAATACTAAAAAGTAAAAAATTGATAAAACAAAAAACACATTTTTAAAAACAAGCTTTTATGTAGCTGTTCATAAAATGGACTAACAATTCAATAAAAATATTTTCAGATTTGAAATATTTGAACGATAATGAAGCTCTTTCATCTCAAGTTTTCAAAGAACGTTTTGACAGCAGTGCCCCTATACACGACTTTAATAGAAAATCACACCCCCTCTCTTTTTCTATCGATTTGAAAATACTGTATTCTTGAAAGGACTCGATAGAAAGGAGAAAGGAAATCAAGATACAGGGTTGCCAGGTTTGGGTAAACGTGTTAAACCAATCAAAATAGAGATAATTTTTACAGTAAAAAACTAACCAGAGATCTTGGTCAAGATATCTTCCTTATAATTTTATCTATGGGCCCGAAAACTTTAAAAAACACATTACAAATGAACAAAACGACAAAATGATTGAATTTCTCCGAGAGCACCCCCGAATGCACCAGGGAAAAATCAATCATAGGTTGAAGGATACTGTTTTAGAATGACTAAAACTTGACATCTACTCTTGTATTTGTTGTGATCGAAAGTGCCGAACCTTGTGGGGGTGGCTGTATGAGTGGAGTCAATCTCGGTGCCCAAAAATATCTCTCCCAATCTCCCATTCCTCAACATGCTGGTTAGTAATATCGTTCCAATACATCAATTGATTGAAATTAACCATTTTTGCAATATGTTTAGCAGGAACGACAGTAACATTGCCAAACACGTCAATTTTTAGGTTATATAGCGCTGTTTTCTACAAATTTTTCCAGTTTCTCTTGGGCGGTACCAAGAGAAATCGCGACTCCCTAAAGTGAATTCATTTCTATCACTTTTCGGTACAACTGATTTCAAGAATACTGCATTTCTTTGCCACACCCGATTTTTCCTGGATGGAAAACTGGTGAAACACATTTCTACTTGAAAACTTGAGATGAGGGCGCTTCATTATAGTTTAAATTTGTCCAATCACAAAAAATATTTCTGAATTTGTATTTCTCTTTAATAGCTAAAAAAAGCTTGTTTTTGAAAATGTATTTTATTTATTGATGGCCCATCCGGTACAAACAGGCAGGTTATCATATCTCGTATATCAATGACACGTGGGGCATACGGCATATACAATATCAATATCTGACGCGTATGTAATTTTTGACAACCCGTAGACGCTCCCCAACCACTACAAGCTTAAACATCATACCATGTTTTTTCTTTCTGCGATCTCATCTTCAAAACCCAATAGATCCCGACGCCCGAGTAACTGCCCATTGAGCTTCTTGGGCTCCCCTACTATTAGAATGTTGTGACTCATACCAACTGGTTCTACAAATAACGTTATCATCAGCGATTGATAGCATATCTCTGACGAAGTGGAAACTAATGTATCTGTAATTATTGTTGCACGAAACGCTGACTTGATTGTACAAAAATAAATGCTATTGTCGTTATTTACCAGCTGTTTTAGGGGTTCAAACCTTCATTATAACGGTTACAGGGTGAGTTTTAGTGTGTAATCTGTCGTTAGCTCAGTTATTTTTAAAAGTATCTATAGGTCTTTCCATGGTTTTTGCGGTCACCTCATCAATGCCATTTGCAATAAGCAAATCGGATAACTGGACTATTTGCGGAGCTGAAGTTCTTTAGGAAAATTGCCCAATGGACAAATCGGTCTTAAACGCAGCTCTTGCACACTGAATTGATTAATAAATAACCATTTCTTTCATTCGCTTTCTCAAAATATTTCAAGAATTTTGGCAAAAACTTCAATATTCTCCATTATAGTTGAAATCACGAATGCGTCATCATTTTAGTGTGTAGTAAAGACAAACGACACCGATTTGTGAATATTTTTAATGAAGTTTCAGATATGTTAGACAGAGACAAACAGACTTTTATTGTCTAAACAAACTGTATTGCTAATTTGCATGTATCCGACAAAGATAGACGATCTTTTCGAGTTGCATGATCGATCATATCTGAAAGATGAATAGTTAGGTTATGTTAAAGCAGGTTAGGTTGTTTCCCAGTAATATTTTGGTCTTCGGTGTTCCTGTCTTAAAGTATTCTACTCATAACTGTTTTTTTCAAAACAAAAACTCCCCACTAAAATTATTATTAATTTATCACTCAAAACCATGAAATAAAATGAAAATAAAATAATCAGTGAAATAACCCAACTTCGCAAAATCATAATATAAATTTGTTGTCATTATGTTCCTGACATCTTCATTTTATTATCGACTTACGTCCATTGATTAGTTCAGTACAATTTATGGTATGACGTAATAGTAATCTTTCGTGATTTTGACTAGAGCAGACTGGATCCGCCATATAGATTTGATTATAGTTGTATTTTTAGATGACTAAAAATCGCTCGGATTTTGATGAAATTTTCACACAAGGCCGAAAAGGCTTAGTATTCTCTAAAATCGGTCCGGTGACAGCAGAGGGACGAAAAACTAAAAAAAATCGCTCAAACTTCATTTTCTGACGTTTCAGAGGCTCCTGACCATTTTCGGAAAAATATTTGTAGGGTTTGAAATTCGGGGGTTAGCGGTTGTACGGGGTGGGGTGAAAATTGTTTGATCTTAGTATACGTATATATACGCTCTCAACCCCGGTAATTCTTTGCACATATTAGCCATATTCCACACATCATTAATTTCCCCGTACATTTGCCTGTAAAGCTTCTGCGATGCCGTGCTGATATGAAAAGGGACAACGTTGTCAAATGGACAGTAACTACTGGTAAGGGCAGGGAAATAATTTCTATGGACTGATGGTTTGGGCCTTTTTGACTGATTTAATTCGTTTAATTTCTTCGTTGTACATGTTCGTAACCGACCTTTCAGAGGATTTATATTACGCTTAATTTAATCCCTTATGAACTGATGACGGCGTTGCATAGGAAGTGCAGAGTCAACTTACTTGAAGCTACTTTTTAATTTACTCGACTACCTCAGAAGGAGCGTTATGTTTTTCGCGCGTGTGTATGTACGAGGAGGTACTCAAAAATAACCGGAATAGCATTGCAGTGGGCGGAGCTTGTGTAGTACACATTTTTGTCCCTAGAGGCGTATAGCGCAACTCATTACCAGTTCAGTGCCACCTGAATTGTCGACCTGGTTTGTTTCGTTCCTCTGTAATCATTATTTTTGCTAGAGCTGTTTAGTGCTTGTTTCGTTTTATACGATGGCAAGCTTCAGTGAGCAACGTGCAGCTGTGAAATTTTGCTTTCTAATTGGAAAAAATGCTGCTGAAACTGTTTTAATGTTGAAACTGCCCGAATCGACGAACATCTTGAAAAAATTCGAGAGCTTGTGCTATTTGGAGGTTTTAAGACGATTGCGAAACAGTGTTCCCGATTTGTGGCAGTCAGGAGACTGGTTGTTCCACCACGATAATGCATCTGCGCACACATCCATCTCTGTTCAACAGTTTCTGACTAAAAAGGACGTCGCTTTGACGACATTGAAGTGATCAAGAAAAAACGAGGGAGGAGACTGGTTGTTCCACCACGATAATGCATCTGCGCACACATCCATCTCTGTTCAACAGTTTCTGACTAAAAAGGACGTCGCTTTGACGACATTGAAGTGATCAAGAAAAAACGAGGGAGGAGCCGTCAGACATTTCTAAGGAAGACTTCAAAAAATGTTTCGAGCAGTGGAAGCACCGGTGGGACATGTGTATCAGTTGTAGTGGACAGTATTTTGAAGGAGATAAGGTTACTGTGTGAAAAAGTTGAGAATAAATAGCTTTTAAAAAATAGTTCCGTTTTTTTTGCTACCCCCTCGTATATGGACAAGGGTAATAACATTTCACAGGCTACCATTCAAACGGCTTGCTGGATTTTAATATGAATATGAGGTGTTGTTAGAGACGTTCTAGTTGTGCGAGTGACACTAGGTATATTAAATCTTTATGAAATCAAAATTGCGGATTATTATCGAAAATTTTAACGTTCTAAATGTCTATTCCAAGGGCTTCAGCTTAATCGGCTTGATTGATTTTGACATACAAGAGGTCTTTAGATTTGACTTGACACTGGCAGTGATTCTAGGTATACTAAAATTTTATAAAACCACAATGTTGGATTTTAAACGTAAACTTCAACATTAAAATTACTTTTTCACGGGCTATAGCCAAACGATTTGATGGATTTTGACATTTGGGGCGTTCTTAGATTCGTCTGGATGACAATGAAATCTTCATTCTTTTCAGTGACTGCAGTCGGGTTGGTTGTATTTTTAAAAAATGTACAAATTGTTTAAAACTTCACTTGCTTAGCACATTTGGAAGGCTTCTCCAAAGGAAAATGCTTGATTATACTATAGTGCTCTGTTTGGCCCTTGGGAGCAGCATAGGATATTTTGTCCGAAAAAAAAGAAAACAAATTTATAGCTTGCAAGTCGGACACTTTTGCAGATAGAGTAATAAGTTTTTCGTCAAAATGAGCTTTATATCCCAACACCCTGTGTTTACAGCCCGTGTCGACTTTCTGTCTAGAAATGCTGATATAAATTTTTGAATCGCTTTGTATAACTAAGATACTATTTTTTTTTCAGGATGTCTAAAAATCCGCCCCCACCATACTCGCCAGCTCCGCCCGGATTTGTACCACCTCCTACTGAAAATATAAATAGTAAGATGATCAAATAATAAAAATCTAGTTAACATTCAATCATTCAAAGCACCCCATGTGGAAAATGGGTCCCAGTCGATTTGTTTAAAAATGCAGTATGATATATCGATCGCCTTTCTGAATAATAGTTCTTAAGACACCACAGCTATAAGCTCAAATCTACTAGAAATACATCATATGGACGATAGTTTCTAACGATTAATAATGATTTGGAGATAAGAGAAAACAATATCATTTATTATAAGAACTATAGATTGTTATTTTTAAGAATAAAATTAAAAGAAATAGGTATGTGACGTGACACGAAACACCAATCAGAAAGCGTTACGTCATGCCGTGCCGAGCATCTTGTTGACATTTTATACAGAGAGTAGAGTTATTTATCGTCGTTACTTTCGAGTATTCGTTACTAATCGTACTCTTCTTCAAAGTAATCACTTATTGTATTCATTACTTTAATTACTATGCGTAGTATGAGTACAAAGATTTGGCAACGTGCGTCGTGTAATTAATGTCGAATTTGGACAACTTCAATGGAATGACTATATTATGCTTTATTAGTTTGGTAAGTGGTCCTGTAAGAATCATAATTTATTTAAATCTGGCGTGATAATCCAAACGTCGTATCATCAAATTTTATGCAAAACTAGAACGGTTATTATAGGGTAGGGTGTCATATGTGACTAAGAACTGAAAAGACTATATAGGTGTATTTACTAAACATACTTCAAAAGCATGTATATTAGTTAGAATGTTGATTTGTTGAGGAAATTCGGAATGTCAAGTAACGTTTCCATCCTATGGGCAATTGGGCATTTCAATTGAGCTTGTACCAGTATACAAAATTCTATTAGAAGCTTTATCTACAGATACCACCTGAACGTGGGATGTCTCTCTGTCAAACCTAATGCATGGGTGGCAGCGCTACAGAGACGCCTAATATGACAATAACCAGCGTTGCCACTCAAAGATCAGCGATTGTACGGAAAACTTAGTAATACGAAGATCATTTGGTCTAGGATTGTTACTCATTACTTCGGGTATCGATGAGTAACGAGTACTAGAGTAATGATTAGTTACTGTTTTACACCTCTAAAAGAGAGGCTATCACGCAAGAAAACTAAAAATATAGTTTATAGCAGTTTTTGTCTGGTGATTGGAATATATATCTTGAAAAACAAGTTCAAATTGCGATGACTGGAAAATGTTTCGCATCCAGCAGTGATTTTTGTTCATTGGAATTCAGTAATGTTAAAGCTTCAATGTAAGTATATACAAGAGTAAAATATATGTTTTATGCTCAAAACACTACATGCCCAAAAGCGAGATTATACAGGTCCGTATTTTCCTCAATGGTCCTTGAATAATCTAACAAAATAAATGATTATTTTTATAGAAAGAAGTGCACATACTTTTTACAATTCTTTATTCGCTGGAAGTACCTGAATCATTGTCCGAATGGTTAATATTAATTATTACAGGTACAATTTGAATATCCCACATCTTTGTTCCGATTGTCTCTTGAACGTGACGGATGCAGTCTTTCCAATGGTTTGCCGTCACTCTGTGAATCATTTAACAATATATCTATAGCAATCTAATTAAGACTATGAATCCAAGCAAATATGAGATTTGACAGCTTTCTTGAAGCAATTTAAGGACATGGTTTTGAATTCAGGACTCAAGGCATTGTATAACACTGAAGCACTGTGAAAGAACGCTGGAATAAAGTTGTGGAGTGAATAGGTGTAGTTATCAAATCTGGAAATCTAATATGTCTATGATAAATATTACGCCTAAAGATCAGCTTTTCTCTTAAGTATATAGGTTTTGACATAAGTATTAGTTTATGAATGAAAACAAGGTAATGATATTTGACAATATTTTTTTTATCATCTAGTTTAATTCAATAAGACTACCAGAAACATGGTCGAAGCGCCTTAAACCTCAGATGAACCTAGCACAATTGTTTTGTACAATTTGAATCCGATTTCTAGTAACAACATTGAGACACGGGTAATATAAAATATCACAGTAGATGATCGGCATAACCAAAGATGAACACAGTTTATTCATTAGCTTATAATTGAAAATTGCTTTATTGGCATATAGTGACCTCAGTCTCAAGTAGGTTTTCTTCAAAAGATTTTTAACATGACTGGTGAATCTAAGTTTGAAATCGATTACCACGCCAAGAATTTTAACCTCGTCAACCGGGTACAGTCTTGGAGATCCAATTTTAATAGTTAATTGACTTTTAATTTCTTCTCTCCTACGATTCGAACAAAAAAATAACAGGCTGGATTTACCAGGATTTATTGACAGGTTGTGGTTATTCGAGAAGTCATACACTTTTTGAATATCATGGTTTATTGTTGTCTGTGCCATTTCCATATGATCAGTTTCAAAATAATGGACCAGTTGAGTATCGTCCGCAAAAGACTGGAGTTCACAAAAACTCACAGCCTTAGGCAGATCAGCAATATATATCAAAAACAACAAGGGACCCAAAACAGACCCCTGGGGTACTCCAGACGAGATTTCTAGAAAACTAGATTTATTGTTTTCAATTGATACACACTGCGATAGATTTGATATATAATTTCGAAAAAAGTTCAATGCAATTGGATCTATGCCATAATACTTCAACTTTGCTATTAACAACTCATGATTTATTTTGTCAAATGCCTTGGAGTAATCGATTGACATAACTGCTACGCCCATTTTTTTATCAAGTACTCTAATAATATTATCCACCAAGTTTAAGAGGGAAGTAGTAGTACTGAAAGATTTCCTAAAAGCAGATTGATTAGATGGGATGATACGTCCATTTTTTTATCAAGTACTCTAATAATATTATCCACCAAGTTTAAGAGGGAAGTAGTAGTACTGAAAGATTTCCTAAAAGTAGATTGATTAGATGGGATGATACGTTCTTCTGCATAATGCATTAGTTGTATGTGGGCTGCCTTTTCAACTACCTTCGATAAACAAGGCAATAGGCTTATAGGTCTTAGATCAGCAAACTCATCTGGATTTGATTTTTTTGGAACTGGTACCACAATTGCTCGCTTCCACGTTTTAGGGAAATAACCTCTTTCAAGGCAACTATTAACAAGGTGGGTTATGTAGATGAGAGTAACAGGCAGACTGAGCTTAATCATAGACAAGCTCAACCCATCAGTACCTTTTGCATCCGACTTAAAACTAGAAATTATTACAGCTACTTCATGAGGCACTAGAAGCCTGAAAGAAAATTTATTAATATGAGGAACATTTTCGTTATAATACCTTAAAACGTGATCAGGAGCATTTGTGGAATCAAAAACTGATATGAAATAATTATTTGCAAGGAACGAATCTGCAAGATGGTTTTGAATACGTGGCTTATCAGATGTCTGTGCTTTCATATTTTTCAATTCATACCACAATTTTTTCTGATCACGCCCGTTTTCCAAGTGAGCAAGATACGCCATTTTTTCATGTCTAATGCACGATAGTGCAAGGTTTCTAAGTTCCCTAAAAATCTGCAATCTTTCTGGACTTTTGTCTATCTTGTATAAATAATATGCTCTCGTTTTTTGCTTTAGAAGCTGTCTCAACGGATATGACAACCACGGCGCTTTCGGCTTACTCACGCGTACCGTCCTTATCAGAGAGTGACATGTCAATTAACTTGCTTCTGAAAAATTGAACTTTATCATCAATATTTCTCATATAGCACATTTCAATAAAATTTACTGTAGCCAGGTCATCAGTGGTTGAAAAGTTATAAAATAAGGCCAAAATTAAAAACATACACTAAATTTAAAAAAAAATCCATTTCTAAATTTCCCAGGTAGCTGATAACGAATAAGATATCCATTATTCAAAGATCCAAATGACGGATTTAATATCGTTTACATCTTTACAAAAAATGTTTCGATTCACTAATTCACATTACAGAAAAAAATATCATTTATTTGTTTATTATTTATTTACGTATTGTTGTCCTATAGTATCATGTGTAAATTAGCAAGTAATACCGTATAATAATAATTATGCATACATACCTTCGGCTCCGCAATCCATTTTGCCACAGATAATTATTTTGATACGTGACACCATTTGACTATACAACTGCTAGGTTTTTTCACTGAACTATGCACCCCACGTCGACACAGACAAGGATTATTCTCTCTACAACCTGATCACTATAAAAAGATTCACATCTCGAAATAATAAAAGCAATAATCAAATATATCCTTGTTCTCGTTTAAACCAACCATTATTAATTATGCATCATAATAGTCAAATACACTAATATTTATTTTGATCGTATTACGATAATAACTAAGTTCCTACTAGTATCGAAATTATAATAAAAGCATTAGAAAATTTTATCGCATATCTTCATTACCCTGCACCACCTCTTTCTATTTCTTAGGCCCTTATCGTCAGTCGTCCCTACAATTGTAGGGCGCCTTTATGGCCTGCTTGATTGACATAGTTTTCTACTTCTCCGTGTCAGCGCTCTATTTTGAGGTTATGTCACAAACATCTATTTGCATCAAATTGTGCTTGCTTTTGAGTTGTATCATGTTTTATCAGCCTGAAATTTCCTACAATTTAAAAAGAAAACATATCTTCACAATAGGAGAGCGCTGACGCTGACACGGGACAAGTGTAATCTAGAAATTTTTGAAAGAGAGAAAGGGGTATGACAATCAAGGAGGCCATAAACGCGCCCTAAAATTGTAGGGACGACTGACGATACGGGCCTTATACATTTTGGCACAGGTACACATGTTTTATGTTTTTCTTAATCTGATATGCCTGTATTTGTACATCTAGGTACAATACAGTATTTATAATTCAAAGATCTGGCCTATTTCTTCCCCATTTTCACAATAACGTTTGTAAAGGGCGAGCAACGTTTGTAAATGGCGCAAAACGTGCGCGGTGGGCGCATAGCTTTGAGGTGGCGATGGTAGCTGGTGTGATGTGACGTCATCATTAAGTTACACGCTCCAGCTAGATAATTGTCCAAATAAGAAACTTCTGAGGAGCGTAACTATGTTATTTTTCATGATATTCAAAAAAGGCATGATTTTAGGTAGACTATCAATTTAAGTGCGTTTCAAAAAATAGGAAACTTCCTCATTCTCCGAGTTTTTGACCGGAGAACCACAATCGCCACATTCACCTTTTTTGCAATTCTAACTATTTGGCAGAAACTAATCATAGGATTGATTTGGTTACATGAGAATTTTTGTTCGGAAAAAAAAAATTTTAGACAAATCGAGCTGGACCCATTTTCAATGTTTTGTGCGAGGTCCTCTTCTGGAAATCCTGGGTTCTCGAGACTGGAACTTCTATTCTCTAGTAAATATGTCATTATATTCAAGGACTGTTCTAATGTATAAACATCTATGCTTTAGCACTATGAAATCTTGTATAACAAATTGTACTATTCGATTCAATGTTTTCAGTTACCATGGCTACACAGCCGATAGCCCTGGGTCCAGGGCCTACAACGTTGACCTGTCCACACTGTCATGCCAGAGTAACAACGACTGTCAAAACGACTGCAAACACGAAAACGCACATAATCGCGTTAATTCTATGCCTTTTTGTGTAAGTATCTTAAATATCATAAAAACTCACCATGCAGATACACGGGCCATCGCAAAGAATTTCTACATTGTCTGTATGTCAGTTGTCATATATCCGTCATTATGCCTACTCATAATGAACAAACTGTACTGTACTCGTAGAATAATAATTATGCGATTAGAATTTTTTGAATATTCAAAATCTTCGAAAATTTCAATATACATAGTAGGTACTAGTTCTGAAAATTTTGATTATTTCGAGAATCGTGCAAATTTCGACAATTTTAAATAAAATATGTTGGAGATGTATGTATGGAAATGTTTAAATTGCTCTCATTTTTGAGTTTACATGTTTTCATAGTCGACGATACCGAATTTGACAATGATTTTCAATGACGCATAACTACCAAGGCTGGAGTCTGTTGCAGCCGAAATTGACATACTTTAACTGGGTGTCTACACATGCTAATTCGAAATAGAGCAACCTCTAATTGACATTTTTTGTAAACTCTTTTGAATTTGTTGTGCCATCTCATGTATTGATTGACAATACATTGCGATGCCATAATTATACTCGTACATACTCCGCAATCCATCTTGCCACATCTCAGTACAGCTGGTTGTTTTGAAATATTCGATTAAAGTATTTTTTGTGATATCCGTTACGTTGAACGTGACAGCAATTCATAACAATGCTGACGGATCTATCAACGCTAGATCTGTAGATTAAGGGCCAATTTCACTAACAACAGTCCGTTATTCTCCACCTATAGGGTAACAGTCCGTCAAATACAGCGAATGAGCTTCAAGTTCCAGTCAACAAATTTTAGCAACAAATAGCTATGAAATGTTGAAAACAAAATATTGTCAAAGTATGAGATGACATCTTGTCATTGAAACATCACCAGCTTATTGAATATTAAGAAATTACATATAATTCAGTCAAAATTTAAACAAATGTTTGATTTTTGAATAAAATTCATGTTTTAATTATCATTGTTGATTTTTTATTCATGATAATATTATTTTCTTCAATTGATATGCGATTTTACTGATTCAAGATCATCTACTGGGTATTTTTTCCTATAAACCTGTTGCAGATAGCCATTAAGCACCTACTTGATGACTGGCTCTACCAAAAAGTTCATAGATAATGCTCGTTTCCAAACATTCATTCATTTACTTGCCAGTTCATCATAACCATTATGGCACCTTACATTGATATTCCCACAAAATCATTCTGGTTTTTTAATATCCATACATCCATAAAGTTGAATAGTTTTCGTTGTTCAGGAACTTAACAAACATCCACACTATATTCACAGCGATAAAAACATCCCAAATATATGTCGTAGAGCTACCAGCAAACCTAAAACCTGCAGAAAAACTAGAAATTTGCAATACTTTTCTTTTTTCACTGAGTAGATATTCTGGGTTATATTTATATTAGACGTTATTTGAATACAGTTGTATATTTGCATTTCAAGGAGTGACACATGTGGGCTCTGTCAACTCTTGGTACCAGTCACAAAACATACTCTGAAGGTTTAGTTCCATGCTATTCAATCACAACACGGTGACTTGTGTGGTTGTCAGCGGCCATTTTGTGAGGGTGCGATAGGGTTGCCAGATTGTGCATTAATATCCCGTTTCACCCTCCTGGTCCCAGTGGAGTAAGTTCCGCCATCTGTTGAAATATACTCTACTATGCTTTATAAGACTATTCGTGACATTTTTCCCAAAATCATTGCACAACACTCGAAAAAATGCAAATGAAAATTAAAATTATTTCCATGACTGCCGCAAAATAGCTCCGTCGGTACCTTGGGTTATACATCTTGACAGTAGGGATGTTCGATAGGATCCTATATTTAGAAGTATCAATACATTTCACGAGTATCGTCATCTTTCGATTCGGACTGTGTCAGAAAGAGTGACTGCCATTTGGCGGTGACATTACCTCTGCCAAATCAGACATATCTTTCATCATTTTCAAAGAAATTGTACAAAATCTTCAAATCTGTGAAGTTAGCGAGTTTCACTTCATATGTTCTTACCAGACATGCCCAAATCATCAGTTGCTGCCGTGATATTCATCCCGACCACTGCATCCCCACGGCTAGGCGACCTGTATGTTAAATTTGTATTGATAGGGAAGCGGGTTATGCTATAAATCATATGTCACAGTGTTTGTGCACTGATTGCAACGGTTAGATGATACCAAAAATATTTTCTTGAATAGAGATCTTTCCCATTCCGGATCGAACAATCTACCAAAGATGCTTATAATCATGATACCTAGTAAATTTTCACGAAAAAAATTCAAAACCAGCAAATGTAAAGGATTCATTTCGCACCCTCCACCACGGGACGTGATCGTCGTTAGACTTGGCAACCCTGCGAGTGTCAGATAGATATCCCCGCCAGTCAAAAAAAAACAAAATAGACAAACAGTAAACATTACTATTTTTTGATTTTTGAACTTAAACATTTTTCATAATTTTTGTCTATGTCCATAGTAATGGCATTATGCATCAGGGAGATGTAGGGATTGACACGTCTTACACATGTTATCTGTGTTTTAGGATGGAGAGGACATAATGTTTTTATTGCTTTGAAGAAATTCATTATCCCATAAATTAATAAATAATTACTATTATGACATAAAGGGAGATGAGGACTTGGATGGAATGTATTTTATATTCTATTTTCTTGCCAAATTTAACAGCTAGAAAATCGACCTATTATTTGCCGCATTCCCATTCGCTGAGGGGGATAACGGATTGTTAAATGTAAACCTATAACATATATCAAAATACATAAAAGTTGTCCTGTTTTTTCTGTACAAAGCATCATGTTGGATTCAAAAAGTCGTCTTGTTTATAATACAGTCGAATTTTCACGATTTTATTCAATATTTCAATAGAAATCACTAATATTCAGAGACCTTTGACAGCTTTCAAATTGCATTTCGATGAGGTATTTTCCCATTGGTCCATAATATTAATGTTGATGAAATTGGCCCTTAGAGTAGTATTTGGTTGTGGTGTTTTGTACGCTTTGAATTCATGCTTCCTAACAACGCATTTAAAAAAGTATGTTCGCACACAAGAAAAACGCCTTCTTCCCAATGGGATCGAAATGTACAACCATGTGATACGAAACGGCTATCTCATACATAGAAACTGTAGATACTCGTACAGTATCAGTTCTCGAATCATGTGGACATTTCTAGCGACCATCTTCCTGCCATGTTGGAAGGGCTTAATGAGCAAACCTAGGAAAAGGAAACTCGTCCAAGGAAACGGGTTGATTGGGAGCTATACGCTTGCTATGCTTCTTAGAGAGTCCCCCAATATTCCATTCATAGATGATGAGAAGGGCATAGATGCGGCGCGAAGTGGACAAGTTTCTTTCAGCAACTCGACAGGCGTTTTTTTCCCGACAGACATTAGTCAGAAAATTTGTGATAAAAGGGCTGCAATTAAGCAAGCGAAAAGGTCTTATCATCCTGATAACATTCGCAGAGCAACGAATCTTTTGAAATAATAAATGCTCTTCACAAATTCCGCATTGAGCAATGGTACGATTTTCTGGTGGGGATGCTTGACTTAAGTACTTCTCTATGGAAAGTGGCGAAGTCGCTTAGAAACGGGAAGCGTGAACAACTCCCGCACATCCATGGTCTTGGGGACAGAGGAAAATGTCGAGGTTTTCGCAGATGTTGTGGATGGACACTTCTCTCCAAACCATGATCTTGATAATGATCTCGTCGAGGAGCAACGCATCATAAGATCCGTCAGGAGATATTATGGGGAAACCGTGTCAGTGATCTCGTTAGCGCCATTAGTGATTTTTTCTCAGAAGATTCTTCTTCAGAAGATTTAACTGAAGAGTTGCACAGCACATGAGCGGCATCTCCTGACATCCAGCATTGCACTCCAGTTGAACTTCCAGGTCACATAAAGACCTCAAGGTGCGTAAAGCGCCTGGGGAGGATCAAATCACTAATAAGGAGCTGAAGCTGCTTTCCCGGAAGTCCTTGACTTTTCTCGTGGCTATTATCAACGCCATGCTAAGGACCTAGTACTTCTCGTTGGCGTGGAAAACTGCAGAAGTTATGCTTTCAAAGAAGGTGGGTTCGACATTTCCTCAGGACTATCGTCGCATTAGCCTGGTGTCTGCTACGTCTAAGCTCGCTGACAAGGTGATTCTACGCCACCTTGAAAACTTCTCGTCAGATCGCCATGTGATTCCTGTTGTGCAATTTGGATTTCGTTCTGAGCATTGCGAGTTACAGGCGATTAGTTTGTGGAGCGAATACCAGGGGCTTCACCCTTAACGAAATTACTACATCTTGGTGGATGTCTCGAAGACATTTGACAAGGTGTGGCACGGGGGCCTTCTCTATAAGCTAATCCAAAAGGGCTTTCCTTTTTGGCTCCTAAAACTTTTGAAATCCTTCCTTGAAAGTAGGAAATTTCGGATCAAAATTAATGTCTTGTCGACAGTAGGGCCCATCACAGCCGGTGTCCCTCAGGCTTCGGTTCTCGGACCAATCCTGTACTCACTTTTTACACATGGCGTCGTTGCCCTAGTGACTGTGGAGTTTATCTATATGACGAGGTTTCAGAGAATGGAGATCGCGTAAAATGGGAAAATTATGCTAATTATCTTGGTGTCACTCTTGACAAAGGGATGACCGGGCAGAAGCACACGTTAAAACTAAATTCCAAATTACATTTTGGCAATTCTACCCTATGCTATGGACGAAGGGTACTATAAAAGTTTTGCAATACAGCTTTATTTATTGACTTCGTTCAAAGTAATTTCCACCACATTCAATACACTTCTCCGTCTGCCAAAACCAGCCCCTAAAAAAAATCTGACAAGTTTTACCCTCAGAAGGTCCTCATCGCTAGAAAACCGTTTTCATTTTAGCTTCATTTTCACATGCGGAAACTGCAAAGTCGCAGGGATCAAGATCTGGACTGTAAGGAGGGTGTTCAATAAGTTTCAGTCCAGTAGTAGTCAAATATTCGGTGCAGGCTTTGGCGCGGTGAGCTTAAGCGTTATCATGGTGGAGCTACCAATTGTCCCTTCTAGACTCTATGATTTTAGGCAGGCACTGTTCCGGGTACCACTTAGCTGTGTGTCCAAAACGACACACTCCACAATTCCACCCGATTTGAAAAATACAGCTATCATTTTTTTTAACATATCAGGATTTTCTGACAGCTACGGGTATGTCCTCATCATCAAAGACCCAAACTTTGTTTTGAGCCTTGGTCGGCACATCGTAATAATAGAGCCAAGTCACGTCACCTGTCACGATGCTGTTCACATACCGAGATTGCCCTTTATCAATCATTTTCAGCATCGACACCAAGTCCTACGACGTCTTCTGCTTTTCCGTCAGACTATGCGTTACCCAAGAGAAACAAAGTTTCCTTACTTGTAAATGGTCATGCAAAATTCAATGAATTGCTGCTGCATGAAGGTGTAAAGTCTCCTCTATCTGTTGGTATGTCACTCTCCGGTCTTCGTCAAGCATTTTTCTTACAGCAGTAATGTTTTCCCTGTTACTGACGTTCGCGGCCTTCCTTCCCTCTCAGCGACCTCCAGAGTGAAATTGCCCTTTTGGAATTCTCTGTACCACCTGATTGTAGTCGTACGATGAGGACAATCATTCTTTAATGCAAGCGTCATTTCTTCTAAGCACTGGTCTATGCTTAAACCATACGTAAAGTTATACCGTAAAATTGCCCTTATCTCACTACGTGACCACGATGCCACAGTCCGCACTTCACACTGTTAATACGTATGAACAACTGAATTAACAGACGTGCTACTGGCGGCTACTATGCACTCATGAACATGCAGCCTCCTGCATCCGTTTGTTGTCATATTGCAAAACTTTTATAGAACCCTTTGTAGAACCTCAAAATTAAGTTTGATTAACAAAGTTCGGCTGTACTAGGTGGTTATTAGACCAGCAATCACTTATACATATGCAGCAATGGTGTTTTATCGTCAAAACGCATATGAGTTGTCTGCAGGTTTTGCAGAACAGAATCTTGCGTACAATACTAACTCCCCATGATGTGTCTCCATCGAGACCCCGACCTCTCTTACCTAAGGGACTACATTAAACAACAGGCGCAGTTACGTTTCAGTCAAGCGGACTCGCTCAGCAACCCTCTGTTGCGTGAGTCATTAGACTACATAGTCAAGCAAGTTGGCAAGCACAATACCGCGGCTCGCACTGTGAACAAAATCAAATCGCGCAATTCTAGGTCCAACGAAAATTAAAATTTTTTCCACACATACAAATTCCTCAATTCATTTTTGGAACAATTTAAAATTACTGTAATCTAGTTAATAATACCAATACCCCTTTAACTGACGCACCTCCTCCTATTTGCTTTTCCCTCTTTCTTCTCCTTCCTTTCTTTTTTCTTCCTTTTTCCCTGACTTCGTCTGGTATCTGGAAAACCAGACTTGAAAGACCTACTCACTTACGATACTTCAACCAAGAGCAAAGGCTCCACGGACCGCTCTGACAGACAAAGAGGAACAAAAGAAAAAAACACGCCACAATCAAAATGGCTGCTAATTATCATGACTATTTCATGTCACGTAGGAATAAAACAAGAATAAAAAGTGTTTTACTATGTTTTGGTATAACAGTTCTGAATCCATTACGTTTTGACCTCTTCTGAGGCGAACAGCAAGCGATATCTTTGTATTAAAACCTGTAGTGTTAGCAGTCAGCAATAATGAGTCGGCAGGGTTATAACGTAAAAACCTATATGATGTCAAAAAACGACAAAATGTCAACTTGCTGAATAGATAGTTCCCAGTATGCAATTAGTTCATTCCGTCAATGCAAGCTGAGAGCGTCACCTATGGAGGAATGACTGAATTACATGCTTTGTGGATTGCAGAATGCCGATATAGTGTACAGTATCTCTCTGAGATCTGACAGAAAGAAAACTGGTTGAGTAGCAGTTCTGGATGAATGTGTGATATTTGCTATGTGAGAAAGTTGTTGCTGAATGTGCTGCCCATGAAGTATATCTATAAGTTGTGCTTGACGGGTTATTTATGTATTGTCCTTTCTGGAGAGAGGTTATGTTCAAAGGTATACCTAATGCTTTCTTTTAAAAAATAATAATATATTCAAAGCCACATAAAAAAAGGAATGACTCATCATACACAAACCATTTCACAGTGCCTCACATCTAGGCGCTGATTTGTATTAACTGCATCGCAAAATTAATTTCTATAAAATTAAATTGGCTGGAAATTAGAAACAATGTAAAATGTGATAACCTTTTCACGTTTCATAAATATTCTTGTCTGTATTCTTTTAGCACACAGATCCTCACTATGTATCACAGCTATGCAACCATGCACTGCCGTTTCCTTCCACCTATAGCAAATATCTTGCAGCTTAGACCTCCAATAATGCCATCTCTGAAGCAGATGCTACATCCCATCACACGTACAGCTACACGACGAGTGAATTTTAAGTGAACAATAGCCAGTTTTAAGTCACTTTTCAAAATACGTAACACCCCTGCGGGTATGAATCGAGTAAAACTCGAGACTGGATTTAAAACTGCTTACACCAAACAAAGTCAAACACTTTTAACAGAGTTAACCCAGGCTAACGCAAGTATACAAATTTTATCAAAAAACATAAGTATTCACATCATGAGCAGAGTATGGCGGAAGACGCTAAGCGCAAACTGAGCATGCAAGGAGATGAAACTGTTTTATATGTTTTGTAAAGATGGCCTGCAATTGCCAAAATGAGGTACACACTTAGGAGAGTAGTCCTCCAAGTAAAAGACCTGGGGTCACCAGCCTAGGTGTGAGCTACAATAGACCGGTGTGAGGCGGTGTGAAGGATCGTGTGATTGACCCACTCACAAAAAACCTAACCTAGCGAAAAACTTGTTTTTATTCTTGTGTGCGAAGGTATACTTTTCTTAATAAAAGCGTTGTTAGGAAGCGCGAATCCGTAGCATACAAAAGACCACGACAAAATACGAGACTATGTACAAATCAAGCGTTGGCAGATCCGTCAGAATTGTGTCACTTGTTGACGTAGGGCTTTGAAATGTTTGTAGATAATAAGCTGTTATTAGCTCTCACGTTTGGTGTGATGGATACTCGTGAAAAAGACTCTATTATTAACGAGTGACATTTTACTAAGGGATACAAGTATTTGGCAAATAATCATTATTTTCGATACTAAATCTATTCCATATTTACACCACTATGTATTTTATTCAACGATGAATCACATAAGTGTTGGTACTTTAATATTTCATATGATAAAAGATTACCTGGAAGGCGATATAAAATTTGATTAATGATAAAAAAAATTATCGCTTAGCTGTACCAGGACGAATTCACGTTATTCTGATCTTTTTATTTTTTTTTCCAGACTCGTACCTTGCGTGTGTATTCCATATTGCTGTGATTCCTGCCAGACTTTGCAACATTTCTGTCCAAACTGCAAGGCATACTTGGGGGCGTATGATAACTAATAAGTGTATTTTTCATATTTTTGGGTGTTTGTTATGCTTTATTTATGTTAGCCGATTTATTTTTAAGCGTACCAGTATGTTTATATATCAAATATTTATATAAACACGTGTTGCTTTATTGTCAACCCACTCCCAATATCGTTATCGCAGCAAGGTACTTATGTTCTATCGCGATAAGGCAGCACAGAGTGCATCTATTATCTGAATCGATCATTGCGGAAAGTCCATGGTTCGAACCAACAAATTCGAATAGATTAGAAGCGGACAAGCCTATATGTTTATATTGTATCGTTTGACACCAGAATTGCTTAGTTTTAGTGCATACTTGTGAGTCGTCTGTCTACCAATGCCTACCAAAGTGACAGCGTTGTATCAACGTAATAGTAATACCAATAGAATTGTACTAAAAAACGTAGCGGCGCCCCGTCTGAGGTTTCAGTGAATGGAGCTCGGGTACCATGGGAAAGCTCTGCTAAGTATCTCGGTGTCACTCTTGACAAGGGGATAACCTGACAGAAGCACACTGAAGCGTTAAAAACTAAATTCCAAATCTCATTTCGGCAACTCTATCCTATGCTATGTAGAACATCAAAATTAAGTTTGATCAACAAAGTTCGGCTATACAAGATGGTTATTAGACCAGCGATCACTTACGCAAGTGCGGCTTGGTGTTTTCTCGCCAAAACGCATTTGCGTAGCCTGCAGGTTTTGCAGAACAGAACCTTGCGTACAATCACTAACGCCCCATGGTGTTTCCAACGAGACCCTTCACAGAGACCTTGACATCCCTTACCTAAGGGACTACATCAAACAACAAGCGCAGCTACGTTACAGTCAAGCAGAATCGCATATCAACCCTTCGTTGCGCGAGTCAGTAGACTGCACTGTGAATAAAATTAAATCGTGCGACTTTAGGTCCAACCAAAATTATAATTTTTCTTCAACAACCAATCCCAAAATTAATTTTAGGATCAATTTAGAATTGCCGAATACTAACTAGCAATGCCAAGGCACCCCTCAAATTGATGCACTTCTTTTTTCTTTGCCCTCCCTCCTTCCTTCCTTCCTTTCTTCTTCCCTTCTTTCTCCCTGACTTTGTTTGGTATCTGGGCAACCAGACCTGACAGACCTACTGACCTACAAGACTTCAACCAAGAGCAAAGGTCCTACGGACCGCTCTGACAGACAATGGCGAATAGTGTACCGATAGAAACTCCTACGTGCATAAGGCTTGTGCCACTTTTTGCAAATTATCTAAGCTGTTCGATGTCTTGAAATCGTCTAAAGGCGGGTACGCATAATTACGAATGCGAATGAGGCAACCCGAGGACGAACCATTTGCCTCGGTTACGGGAAGTTCACGTTCCCGAATAATAGACGCACGACTCGATGTACGGCATCGATCAATGGGATGAGGCGAGCATTCTATATTTCAGTAGCTTTTAAAATATGACCGATTCAGATTCTGATGGTGAACGCGCTGCGTATTTCATGATTTTAGCCAGTATATTAAAAAAGAAGAACGAAAAAGGCTAAAAGAGAAGTCAATTGAAGGAAATAGCACAGGTTTGTTAAAATATCTCTTGGCCGATAAAACGAGCGGGTTTTTTGAAAATGTTACTAGTATGTCTCAAGCAGATTTCTTTCTATCGAATTGTATCAAACGAAGAATAGAACGACAAGACACATCAGCCTATAGAAAAGCTATTCCAGCTGAAGAAAGACTTGCATTAAATCTTCGGCATCTTGCTACAGGAGATTTGTTTACAAGTTTGCAGTACCTGTTTAAAGTATCTAAACAGTTAATTTCCACAATAGTACGATAAGTATGTCAAGCAATTATTGACTGTTTGAGTGACTATGTTCAGGTACGTAATAATATCTCCCTTTTGATATTCTTCAATGAGCCGTAGCATTAAATTCTGAGGCCATTCCATTTTTTGGTGTAACATATTGGCAAGGCGCTAAATTGCACGACCTCCTGCGTCACCATTGCTAGGCAACTCGAGCCGTCACACAAATTTGGTTCTCAGTGTATACCATTTTCTTGAAAAAATGGGAAAATTTTGACGTCTAGGGGCGGCGCGCTTCTTCTAACTCCGTCCTTTAATATCACACAGTCAGGGGGCCCTTTTCCTTAAATCCGCCACTGATTCGTCAAAAAGTATTTTTTTATTAAATTTGCTCACAGCTTAATTGCGCGCGAAGAAGTTTTTCCTACATCAAGCTGATCGCATAGGCAACCAGTCTTGCGCTATCATCTATGAGCTTACAGTTGAATTAAAGTTGACGGATGCAGTGCTGCCAGTGTCTAGTAGAAAATAACAGTACGGCACCCATTTAATATGTGTGCATTACAGATTTATCTAAGAGATTTGGAACTTTAAAAATTGGTGGTCGAACTAAATTCGCCTGGGGTGGGGGGGTCATGACCACCATGACTGCCCCTGGATCCGCGCCTGCGCATCAGACATTTCTACAAAATCTTGAAACGAGTTCTTACAGAACGGGGGATTTTCTAACGACCAAATATGTTCATTTCAGATTCCACTCCTCGTAGAAAGCGATTCATCTAACCACAAAACCAAATCAATAAAATCTGCATTTGCAGTAACTACTCACAAAAATTTCCCCGTTACATTTCGTCGCCGGGTTGCAAACATTGATGTAAAATTTCCCAATTTAAAATTCTCCACGCAAGACTTTGGGAACATGGTAACTGGGCTGCAATCCGCCTAGTACTTGTACTAGGATCATCCATCGCCAAATAGAATCACTTCCAGTTCCTCTTGAACAGTATGCTGGACACCATGAGCTCTAACTGCGGGAAGTTTGGCAATCTGGAAGTCTTAGAAATGAACGCCTAAAAACCTTTTGGGTAGGTTGGCGTCTGTTAAGAAATCTACGTTGGTACTCCCGAGAAGCCGCTAAAGCATTTTCATTACAGAACCCGTACACAAAAGTAATATCGGCGTACTCTTTTCATTGCTCAATTCCATTTCACAACACTCAAAAATGGAAAAAAGAAACTTTTGACTTGCCCTTTACAAACAAATGGTAGTAGTAACGATAGCAAGCGTATAACACGTATCTTTGATAAACTCTCCCAAGTTGGTATCAAGGCCTCCTATTTTTATTTTGAAACTAATTGTATCTCGGCTCTTCATGAATGAGCTTATCTGTTTTATTTTTATTTTTACGAAAACACTGCACTCTAGGGATAAAATACAATAGTAATTACTTGTAGCAAATTGAAGGTAAAATTCGAAAGATTGCGCGTATCGAAAAAAAAACAGTGGCGTACTATTTTTATTTAGCAAAACAATGCCAGTAATCCCCTGTATCTCCGGCACTGGTGCACGTTACTTTTGAGTAAAGACTTTGAATGTGAACAATACTTAGATAAATCCACATACCAAATTTTAGTTCATTCCAGTTGACAGTTTTGAAGATATTAGAAAAATTTATATTATTATTATATCTTTTAAATGAAGTCCTCGAGGGAAAATTTTACATAGAAAATCCCCTCACAATACGATCCTGTATGGTGTTTCATTTTTGGTCACGACTTGTGAATCACCCTGTATGTAGTATATAATATTAATATTATCAAACATTCTTGTAGCAAGCAGTTTTACACTAGTCGCAAAAAAAAATGAGGCTCCCCGTGTACGGGTAGTGCATTTTATTGGTTCTGACAAATTACGTTTTATCGATGTCATTGCATTACATGAAAACTTTACTAGAAGTTGTTTCGAAGGCGTGGCATTTTTTTCAAAAGGGTCGAGTTGGCAAGCTGAAATTCGGGGTGATGAAATTAATGTTTGAAGACCATATTCAGCTAACAGTGATGGTCGAAAATTCCAAAAAGCAATGTTAAAGTTTTACGGTGTATGTGTGGGACAAATCTTGGAACTGAATTTTGAATCAGTTAACCTTCACCATTTGGCCTGAAATTCTGTACACACGTTTGGTTTGCATGACAATTCAAAATGAATCAACTGCCGCCATTTTGAATCCAAACTGGCGGATGTTACAAAATCGTGATTCAGGATTATCTTCTTGATGAGAGAAACATAATAAGCAAAGTGACCTCATTCTAAATCTAATACGGTGGCTGCCGCAAAATGGCGATTTACATATTTCATCGTCACCTCTACGACATGGGTGTTAAGTGAAACGGCTTTGAGAGAGAAATGCAATCATAGTCACGTTCATAACATAACAAGCAACGCGATGTCATTCTAAATCCAATATCGCGGCCGTCGCTGACAAATATCGTCATTTTAAATTCCATTTAGCGATCACCGCAAATTATCGATTTATCAGTGTATGTACGAGAATATATAATTCAAATAAAGTAACAAGTTATATATACACGAGGTGTTTCAAAAAGCCGTGCCAATATCTCTTGGGTAGAAAGTACATCCAAAACTAACAAAAAAAGTTCTAAAAAATGTGGGTCCAAATATGCTTCGCTACCGACATATAAGTCAACGCCAAACAAGTGGCGTGCACGTCATCACGATAAAAATTCCCCGACCTAATGCCTAGGTTTCTATCACAAACAATTGCTCTATTGCAGTTTCATATTAACGTGATATATAAATTGTAAAATGGTCATTACTCTCTTATTATGGTTAATAGTCATATAAACATTGTTATTAAAATATCACATAAGTTGCTTTCTGATAAATTTAGACGCATTATGCGAAATAAAATGTTTTGCAAACGCTCCAATCACTTATCGACATGTAAACGCAATAAACCGATTTCGCAGCGTTGACACATTGTCACCTTGAAACTTTTTTAAACTGGGAACTGACATTTGTATTAATTTTGACACTGAATCAATTTGTGGCATTTCAAATCTTTATAAATCCTTTGGCCCCGCATACTGTAAATCAACAACTGTTTGTTTCAAAACAAAATTATTCATTTTACGAGTAGATAAAGGCAATTTTGGTATATAAAGATGCCCAAACAGTTATATAGTCGGTGTAAGGAACTCGTGGCCTCGTTAATGCACTACTTGAGCAAGAAAGGGACAACAACGGGCCTTTGTTGCCTTTAAATGCTGTTCAAGAGGTAGGTTACTAATAATTA